AGAATTCTCTTGCCTTGTAGCCTTAACATGGGGCAGTGGCTCTTCCTGGTTCTACAGCAGCTTCCAGCCTTTGTTGTCAAACTGGGACATCAGCTCTGCAGATTTTGGACTTACCAGCCTTCGTAATTGCATGAGCCAATTCCTTATGTTAAATCTCCCACACCCCAACATACACATACCCCTTCCTGTCAGTTATGTTTCTCTGGAGAACCCTAACAAATACATATATTCCCTGTCAGACATCCTGTCCCAGTGCTGAGACCATAACAGGCAAACACAATATGGACTGCTGTGGAATATGCCATTCAGGGATCAGTTTGCCTGGGTAGGCTGTGGTTGGTGAGAGATGTTGGTGAGGGCTGGGCAGGAGCCAGATTAAGAGAGGCCCTGCAAGGCCATGGAAAAGAGTCTGCATCTGATTCTAGACCAGTGCTTTCCAAACTTCAGCACCATTTTCATGATCTTTGCCATGTCCACACTTCAACTATTTATTGTTTGATACATTTTTACAAATCAATTTTGTGCCCATTCTTTTTTTTTTGGAGTTGGAGTCTCACTCTGTCGCCTAGGCTGGAGTATAGTGGCACGCTCATGGCCACCGCAACCTTGACCTGCTGGGCTCAGGTGAGCCTTCCACCTTAGCCTTCCAAGTAGCTGGAACTATAGGCACACTCTACCACACCTGGCTAATTTTTTTGATTTATCATAGAGACGAGCTCTCGCCAAGTTGCCCAGGCTGGTCTCAAACCCCTGAGTTCAGGCAGTCTTCTTACCTTGGCCTCCCAAAGTGCTGGGATTATAGGCTTGAGCCACTGTGCCCAGCCAGCCCATTTTTAAAAACTACTTTGAGTCATAATATCTATGCAAATGTGGCTTTTTTTCATTACACACGAAAATAAATAATAATTACAATAAGAAGATGTTGGTTATATACTTTATCCCACATTTTTGGAAAGTTACCATGAATGATGAGGGTTAGGGCAGAATATTAGGGGTTTCAGGAAGGGCAGGACACTGAGATTTATGTTTGGGAAAGGTTCACTTTGACTGTTGGGTGGAGAATACATTGGGGGGAAGTGGATTGGGAGACAGGGAGACCAGCGAGGGGACTGTTGCAGATGTTCCAGAGATGATAAGAGACTGAAGCACGGATGTGTTGTGGAGTAGAGAGGCAGAGCATTTAGAGATATAATTTGATAGGACTTAGAAACCAATGACATGGTGTCTTAGTCCAAGGAATACCTGAGGCTGGGTAGCTTATAAAGAAAAGAAGTTTATTTGGCTTACATTTCTGCAGGCTGTACAAGAAGCAGGGTCCTGGCATCTGCTTCTGGTGAGGGTCTCAGGTTGCTTCCACCGATGGCGGAAGGTGAAAGGGAGCTGGCTTGTGCAGATGACATGGCGAGAGAGGAAGCAAGAGGGGAGAGAGAGGCCAGCCTCTTTGTAACAATCAGAACTAATGAGTGAGGACTCATTTGTTTCTGTGAGGACAGCACCAAGCCAGTCATGGGGATCCACTGCTATGACCCTAACACCTTCTGCTAGGCCCCACATCCAATGTCAGGGATCACATGTCACCATGAGATTGGGAGGGGACAGATATCCAACTATAGCACGTGAGGATTGAGGAAAGAGAAGGAATCTGCTGGGTTGACTCTGTGGCAATTTTAGTTTGGTTGCCTGGGAAGATGGAGGTGCCATCACAGAGGCAGGGAGCAGGGTAGGGAGGTGAAGGTCAAGTCCAAAGGGCAGTAGGCAAGCAAAGCAAGTGTTGCCAGGGCTGAAGGAATCGAAGACAGTTTTAGCAATGATGCTGTGAGGTTCATTGTCCCTTAAATAATAGCAAACCCACGCTTTAAATTAAATTAAAACATCTTTAGTTTAGTTCTTCTAAGTGGACCCACACATGTATTCTCTACTAGTTGTTACTGAGAATGACTAAGTATTATAATTGAGCTGAAAATAATCTGCCGCCCATACTTGCTGGGTTGGTTACTAAGTATTGCTTGGGTTTTTAAGTAATGAAACAAAGTTGTGTTCTTTCCAAATGTTAATTTTGAGGACTGCAGATGGTAACCATCTGTTCCACGACTAGCATTTTACAATATTTGATTACTACTTTATATAGTTTGGGGAAGCCTGCCAGTGGAGTCTGCCCATCAGACTGGGGACTTTGGTGGTGTGTCCTCTGTGGCTCTGTGATTGCCCTTGATGTCTTGGCCATCGTTGTATGGGGTTCCCCTCTGGTTTGTGTGTGTTTGTGTGTGTGTGTGTGTGTGTGTGTGTGTGTGTGTGTGTGTGTCTAAAACGAAGCTAATAAGACTGGCAAGTTGATGATTCATAGTGGGAGGAACTTGAGGAGCCCCATCCTATTTGGACACTTCTTTGGAGCTGGAGCCATCAGAACTGGAGCCATCTCTCATCATGGGAGAATTTGGGAGGTCAGGATCTGTCCACCAGTTACGACTATGAGTTGCAATTGACAAAATAGCAACCCAAGCTGCTTTTGTAAAAGAAGATTAATTGACTCAGATCATTAAGCAGTCTAGGGGTGGGACTGCCTTCTGGTGGATGATTTTAGGGCTCAAATGAACCCTTTGGACTTGGTTTCTCTCAGGGTCTCAGCTCTGCCTACTGCTGTGTGTCTGCAGTCTCCGAACTCAAGAAGAGGCAAAATGGCTTTGCTGGGAGAGGATAAAGTCCTCCCAGTGTCAGGCTTGGTGGGAAAGAGCTGGAGTCCTTTCAGTTACTTCTGCCAGAGGTGTTGAGTTTCACTCTGGTTGGACTGACTTTTGTCATGTGTCTGTCTGAATCAATCTCTGTGCCCTTGTGGATGTAGAGCTCTGACTGGTCAGGCTTGGGGTGGAGTCCCCGAGACCTAGTGGGCTGTGACCTGGGAGGGGTGTACCCCAAATCTCTCACTGGGGCTGTTACTAGAAGGGAGAATGGATGATGGGGACAGACACCTCTGTACACTCCAATGTCAGAGCAAGAACCCAGAAAACCAGGAGGAATTGGGTAACTTAGCTGTGGAGACACATTTATTGTTGCTGGGAAGATAATGTGCTATAAATGGAATGAAGGAGCCTCTGAAATCAGCTACCTCATAAGCTTCCTTTTGTAGTTTAAGGGCATCCGATAGATTTAATATTCTGGTTCTCTCTTTCTTCTGTGGGGCTGGGAAGAGGTGTTCTCTTTCTCTTTTTTACGTTCCTTTAAAACTAAGGCCAGTCACATAATCTCTGTCTTTTAGCTCCTTCATCTGGAACATAGGGAGCCTCTTTCTGTACAGAGGAGGTAATAAGTTCGTGCAGTTCAGTGAAAAGTGAGTCAAGCCTACTGCGGGCCAGGCGCTCAGCCTAGGAAGAGCCATGGCTGGGGCGCCACGAATGGGGCCCCACAGAGACAGAATAAGTCCCTCTGTCCCCAGAGAGGGCCACTCAGGAAGGGCTTCCTGGAGGAATGACACTGAGCTGAAGCTGGAGATATGAACAAGTTTCCTTACATGGAGTAGATGGGGAAGGGGGCTCTATGCTAGGGAGCTGCATGTGCAAAGGCCCTGAGGTAGCATATGTGGCGGTTTGGGGGATCTGGGAGAAGTTCCTGTGGCTGAGTAGGAGGCACCCAAGGCACTGGTTCCAGAGCTCACTTGGAATCACTGCAGAGGAGACTGGAGTGACAGACTGGGACAGGAACACCAGGCACAGTGGGGCATGTGTATAGGCTGGGAAGCACTTGATGAAAATTTAGCAAGTCTGTATGTTCTAGAATCTACCATTTAAAACAATCTGTACTCTCATAGTTTCCTTACAAAAAGGAGGTTAGGCTAGAGCTGTGGGTTCTTTAGAGAGAGCCTTATTACAGAGCAGACACCAGAGAGAGCATGCTGTGTAATTCCACGTATACAAAACCCTGGAAAATGCAAATGAATCTGCAGTGACAGAAGCAGAGCAGTGGTTGCTTGGGAATGGGGAAGGGGGGAGGGCAGAGGGAGGGACATGAAGAAGCCTGGGCTAACTTTTGGGGGTGATGGGTGTTCACTCTCTTGACTGGTGAAGGTTTCTCAGGTGTGTATGTATGTGTGTCAGAATTTACTGAATTATATACTTTAAATATGTGCAGTTGGTTGTATCTCAGTTATTTAAATAAAGCCAGTAGTGTTTGTTTGTTGTTTTTTGAAAAAGGCTCTGAAGCCAAGCTGCCAGTGTTTAAACCCCCAGCTCTACGTTTTCAGCTGTGTGATCTTGGGCAAGTTACCGGACCTCTCTGTGCCTAGTTGTCTTATGTGTGTATTAATCACATCCACACTGAGTAGAGCAGAACAACATCCTTGTCACTCCTATGGTGACACACAGTCAAATGAAGGCATGGGCGCAGGCGCCAATATGCCCTGGTGCTTCTGTGTGCGGCTGCCTCTCCATGAGGAGCCCCAGAGTCATGCTTCTCAAATTTTCATGTGCACGTGAATCCCTGGGCTCCCTGTTAAAGTGCAGGTTTGGTCTAGTAGGTCTGAGGTGGGGCCTGAGACTCTGCATTGTAGTGATCTCCCGGTGAGGCAACTTCTGCTGGTTTAGGACCTCGCTTGGAGTAGGAGGCTCAGCTCTCTGGGTGTTCTCACCTCTGTGCCCAGCGCCCTCCCCAGGATGTGCCTGACTGACGGCAGAGCTGGTTTTTCAGTGATGGTCCCCTAGAATCTTCTGTTACCTCCCTGACTCTGCCTGTCAGTAACTTCTTGTCCACCACCTGAAGTTGGGCTCCAGAACGAAGATGCCAGGGGTGAGACTGGGCATCTCCCTCCACACTCACCCTTGGACCTTATGGCTGAGATTTCTGCAGCACTGAATACCCAGCCCAGGGCACAGGCTCCATGGGGTGGGGCGTGGGGGAACCTGGCCTCCCCGCCACATCTAGCCTGCTTCACAAAGTTCTGGGACCTGGGGGCCAGGGCTGATTACAGAACTTGGCTTGACGCCTTAGAAGTGATGCTCTGTGTTTTCCAGGGGCAGGCGGGCTTGCAGATGGCCCCTCTTCCAGGGGCAGAGCTGGTGCAGAGGCCGCTGCAGCTCTACCGATACTTGCTGCGCTGTTGCCGCCAGCTGCCCACCAAGGGCATCCAGGAGCATTACAAGCATGCTGTCAGGCAGGTGTGAGCAGGGTGTTCTGGGCCTGGGGTTTTCTCTACCGGAAGCGGGGCTGGAGGCCAGGGCCAGGGTACGGGTAGTCTTTCAGGTGGGGTGGGGTGGCAGTTCAGAGCCACAAGAGACCAGTGCTGGACAACCCAGGTCCTCTCTGTCCAGAAAACAGAGGTTGCATCATCCAGCACACCAGCTGTGTGCAGGATATGGGTGAGATAGCCAAATGGAACATTAGAATTGAGGGTGGGACACAGGCATTCCTGCCAAACAGTGCATACCCTGAATTTAGTCATGAGAAGCCATCAGGTAGACCCAAACCAAGGGGCCATCTACCATACAACTACCTGGCTTGTGCTCACCAAAAATGTCAGTGTCATGAAGCACAAAGAAAGGCAGAAGAACTGCTCTGGATGACGGGACTAAAGAGACATGACAGCTAAATGTAATACATGAGACCAGGTTGGATACTGGGCCAGAAGAATTGCTGGTGTGATGCATGCATTCGGAGTAAGGGCTATGGATTAGCTCATGGTATTATATCAATATTAAATGTTGTGGATTTGATTCCCTTGGCTCTGTAAGAGGATGTGCTTGTTGTTAGGAAATACACAGTGACGTGTATAAGGGGAAAGGGCATGAGACCTGCAACTTAGTCTCAAGAGCATTTGAAAAAGCATACACATATAAAGAGAGTTACAAAGCAAGTGTGGCAAAATGGAAAGTGAAAAAAAAAAGAGGTAGCAACTGCAGGCTATGGAAACACGGAGAAGGGAGCAATAGCAGTCTGGAGGAGTCAGGAAGGACTGGGGTGGCGGGGATGAGGTGACTCCTAAAGGTGTGGGGGGGAATGTGTGGCATTGGGAGGAACATGGGGGCAGCTCTTTCTGAGACCCCTGAGCACCACAACGCTGAACCTGGGTCTCAGGTCACCTCTCAAGGTTGGACATCTGGTCCAGCACCAACAGCAGCCTGTGCTTGACATGGGGCCTGGCTGCATTTCCCAGAGCCGCCCTTTCCACCGCCTCCTGCCTTCCTTGCATGGCATCCCTAGCACTGGCAGAGAGAAGCCCATGCAGAGCTCACCCTGGGGAAAGCAGCCTCCTCTGAGGAGCAAAGTAAACAGAGGCATCAAAGTTCCCCCTTGGTCCCCACTGCTTTGGGGCTCAGCTGGATTTGGGGGTATCTCAGAGGCCCCCCTTTTGCAGCTGCCCTGCTGGCAAAAGTACAAGCTTTGCAGTCGAACAGACTGGGATTCAGATGCCATTGCTGAGCAGCCAGTTGGAATTTCCGAGCCTCTGTTTCCTTGTCTCTAATGGGGTCACCATGACTATCTGTGGAGGATTAGGAGATGATGAGTAGGAAGAACCCAGCAGCGCAGTGAGTCTGTGACTGGTGCTCTGAAGCTGCTGGTCCTGGGAATTTTACCTGATCGTCTTTCTTTATGCTTAAACTTACAGAGTTTCCGGGTTCATGCAGATGAGGACAACCCTGAGAGAATCCAACAAATTATTAAAAGAGCCATTGAAGATGCCGACTGGATCATGAACAAAGTAAGCGCTTGGTTCCCAGCTCCACCTGTGAGCTGTGGGGGCGATAATGGCTGTGACTGCTATGGCCACCAGGGGCCGCCCCTGCCCCACAGTTGAGAACAGTCTGTGCTGAGGGGGGGGCTCCCTCCAGCTGCTCCCCTGCTCCGAAGCAGATTTCTCCTGGTGGTATTTATGTTCTGCAAGGAGCCAGGGGGCGTCACCCCTAAATCCAGAAAAGGTATGCCTTTTCTCCTATTAATCAATCTGCCCTATACCAGATATCTGCCTAACAGTGCTGAAGAAGCTGAGATGGAACAGCAGGAAGAAGAAAGAGAACAGTCTTCTGGGAAGCAATAGTGCCAAAGCTGCCTTGTGGTGTCTCAGAGAGGAAAGCAGGCTTGGGGAGTGAACTCCCTGTGTCTGGGGTTATTCATACCAGGGCAGGATTATTGAGGAAACATTCCAGAATCTGTTTTGGTGGAAGAAGGGAATGAGTCAGGAATGGTCCTTAGACTCTGGTATTAGAAAGACCTAGAGAACTGGAGGGGGCCCCACCTCCTGTCCTTCTAACTCAGACTCTAGATGTGGGGCCCAGGGTCCATTTATTTTTTTAAACTCAGTGATTGGACTAGCTGGCTTCCAAGGGTTTTGAAGGAGTGCAGGGAAATTTACCCCAATATATGGCTCCCTGCAATCATTAGTATTTTGAGTTAAAAACTCTTAAGAATCAACAGGCCTTGGAAGAGCCTTTCCCCCCGATCTCCATAACGGCCACGTGGACCCACCAAGAACAATTGCTTTTTCTTCCCTTCCCTGTTATTTCATTATCTATTACAGGAAAGGAGAGAACTAATCAAACTTGGCCCAGCCATTTCACCACATAGACCTATCTCCCAGGGTCATTCAATTTCTAAAGAGAACCATGTCCAAGTCGTTCTCTGTCCCCCTCCATCCATTCTTCTCCCAATCTTTTGCTGCCCTTCAACAGGATTCCTTTTCCTCCCGTAACTGTTTGACTAGAAGCCAGACCCCCATTCTTTCTGTATTCTCGAGGTGGTATTTATATTTCTGTAATTCACTGGGAAGTGGGGTCTTCATGCTGAAGATTCCCATATATGCACGTTACATCAGTTGGTATGCCTTTTCTCCTATTAATCAATCTGCCCCATACCAGTGATTTTTCAGTGAACCTTTCAGGGGCCAACAGCCATGGCCCCACAGTCCTTCTCTATCTGAGATTTTTGTTTTCCTCAAACAAGACTCAACTCAGAGAGAAGGTCAGATGCCCCCATTTCCTTATCATCCTCCCTCCTCTGCCCCATCAGCTTCCCATTCCATTGAAGAAGAAAGGAAGTCCAGGCATGGACTAGAGATTTAACTGTCCTGGGGCTCCTGCCTGGGTTCTACCACCTCCTAGAAACCCCTGCAGCAGGCAGCGAAGCCCAAATGACAAGGACTTGAGGTTTTCCCAGAGTCCTCTGCCCCTGTTGGCTCCCCTCCTCCACTTGTCATCTCTCTGTGTTGCAGTATAAAAACCAAAACTGAGACTCCAAGGCCCGGAGAGTGAGCTATTCTAAAGCATTGAAAGTTGAAAGACCTCTCTTCTTCTGGAGCTCAGCGGTCAGAGTGGTTTTGGAAGATCCACTGGCCTTGTTGGCTGAAAGAATAAGAAATCAGAGGAGAAGACGCCAACCTTTCTCATACAGCCTTTCTCACCACAGCCATGTTTCCAGCATCCTTTATGTTTGCAATTCCAGCTGGTTATGATGTGAAACTTGGGGACAATGTGGTATTTTTTTGGTTTTTTTGTGTGTTTTACATTTTTGTTTTCCTGTTTTTTTATTTTGCTTTGAAAGTGATTCATTTATTTTGGAGGTCTCTCCACCATTCTTTGAGTCCCAGAGAAGATCTCCCCTCACCTTGCAATGGAAAGAGCATAGGTTTCAGAACCAGACAGATCTGGATTTGAATCCCAGTGCTGATGAAAGATTCTGAACTCTGTAAAATATTTAAGAAGGGTTATTCTGAGCCAAATGTGAGTGACTGAGGCCCATGGCACTATCCCAAGAGGTCCTGAGAACATGTGTCTGAGGTGGTTGAATTGCAACTTGGTTATTAACATCTTAAGGAGACAGAAGTTACAGAAGACACATAAATTAATACATATGAGATTTTCATTGGTTTGGCTCAGGAAGGTGGGACAGCACCAAGTAGGGTGGGGATGAGGGGCTTACAGGTCATAGGTGGGCTCAAAGATTGCTGGGTTGGCAATTGGTAGCAAGAGTTAGGCTCTGTCTAATTACATTTGAAATAAGTAAAAGAAATGCTGATTTAAGATGAGGGGAGTTGGGGAAGCCAAAGTTCCTGAAAGGTAGATGAAGCCTCTAAATAGCAGGCTTCAGAGAGAACAGGTGGTAAGTGTCCTAAAAGGTCCCCAAGTCTGGGGAATCCCTGGGAAGGAGATTCTATATAGATGCAAGGTTCCCCAAGAGCCAACTTTGTAGGGTCATAAAGTGTTTTTGATTTCCTTTTTTATGTGTTGTGTGATGTTATGCCAGAGGCAGGTTGAAAGTAATCCACATTTTATATAGGGTTAATAAAAACCTGTCTCTGATGAGACTTTATGGTTTGTGGAATGTGTCTCCCCAGGCCTCCCTAGTTAGGAATTTGGCAAAAGAGGGAAAAAGCCCATAGTCTGGTCCCCACCAGCTCAGTGGCTTTTCAAAGGCATCACCTTTGAGCTATTTTCTCCTTTGTGAGGATTATATGAGATGAAATTGAAGTGTCTAATGGAGGACCTGGTACCTGGTTCTCTCTGAGGAGGCCACCCGCCCTGCTCCCTTCTCTGCTGCCCAGGCTGCATGCCTCTGCTCTAGCATACACAGCGCTGGTCGTAATTGTTTGTGAATTTGTCCTGTTCCTGCTTGTAGCCACTGGGCCCTCACAGTTGTCCCATGCCCAGCACTCTGCTACGGAACTGCTCTTCCTGACCACCAGGGAAGCAGAATCCCTGGTTCTTGCCTTCGGGGAGTTCTCAGTGTCCTTGAAGTGGTGAAATGCAAACTCCATGGACCAAGGAAGGACATCAAATCAACTGCAGTAGACACTGGCCTGTTCAGGTGTCTGTGCACTTGTGATCTGTCTCAACTGGCTTTTCCCTGCTTTGCCACCATCATGAAAGAATGGAAAGGGGAGAGAGAGAAGGAGGGTAGGTGTAAGAAGAACTGGCCAGAGCAGGTAGAACAGCCAGAAGATACAGAGAGAAGCCACACTAGGACTTGAGTGTTGCCGTGGCTAGCATGTGTTTGTGTCCTTGCAGTGATATGACTAAGTGACTCAGAGACATCTCGATGTACATACGTATGCTGCTAACAGTGAAGTAAATATATTAATTTGTGCAAGCTCGTGTCTCTTCTTAACTTCTACACCATTCATTCCTTAAACATTTGTCATCTCCCTACTGTAGCTGTCTATTAGGTGAAGAGAACTTAGAGACAAGTCAGATATGAAGCTGCCCAGGAGGGATCATTTTTCAGAGCAAGTGACTGGTCCCACTGCTAGACAACAGTTGATGAGGTCAGATTTGCCCCACCAGGGCAGAGGCAAGCTGAGGGGTTTCAGACCAGCCCAAAGTGAGCCAGTCCGCTATGCTTACCCCTGTTGTTCTGCTCCTCTGAAAGCAAGGCTGTCATCCGTTGGTAGATATGTATTGTGATCATAGGAGGGGAGTTGGTGGGATCCCAGGCCTTTCACCAGAAGAAGAGAGGTGAGTGAAGGCTGGCCAGGGTTTGGGAGAAAGTTGGTGACCCCTGCTCCTGACTGACCCTGGGATGGTCCATGACCTTCCGTTCACTGGCAGGTGCTTGATCCAGCTGTGCTGACTCACTAGGTGTCAGACAGTGGATGCCTAGCTCCAATGGGAGGCTGACTTGTGAGGGAACCAACGGGGGTGGGGTTGCTAAACAATGTTGGCAGTTCTCTACCAGCCCCTGTGCTGCCAGAGAGGGCAGGGAGCCTGTCACGTGGGAGGCCCCAAGGCAGGCATGGCAGGCTATACGCAGCAGAGGAGGAAGGCCATCAGGGGCATACTGAAGCCAGCACATGCTCCATGGAACAGAGCCTCTCCCACCCTGCACAGTTGCATTTCTACCCCTGTGCCCACCTTCACTGAGCACTTACTCTGGGCACAGTCCTTCCTCTGGAGGGGGGAAGGAACTCACAGGCTAAGGGAGTGGGTCATCAAAAGTTTGAGCAATTCTGGCTTGTAGGATGTTATCATAACATAGACTGATCTTTTCCTACCACAATTCTTTTTTATTCTTTCTGGAGTTTTTAGTTCTCCCTGTCCCTGGATGAAAACTGGGACAAGGCCAGATGTGATGGCTCCCCCCTGTAATCCCAGCACTTTGGGAGACCAAAGTAGGAGGATTGCTTGAGGTCAGAGGATCTCTTGAGACCAGGCATCCAAGACCAGCTTGGGCAACATAGCAAGACCTTGTCTCCAAATAAATTAAAATTGCAACAAGCCTCAAAATTTTCTGGCAAATCTTGGGTTAAAAAACTGCCAAAGCTATGGTTACTTTTTTGTGTTTTTTTTTTTTAGTTGTAGTCCCACTCTGTTGCCCAGGTTGGAGTGCAGTAGCATGCTTACGGCCACCGCAGCCTCAACCTTGGCTCAGGTGATTCTTCCACCTCAGCCTTCCAGGTAGCTGGAACCACAGGCATGTACCACCACACCCGGCTAATTTTTTTATTTATTGTAGAGATGAGGTCTCGCCAAGTTGCCCAGGCTGTTCCCAAACCCATGGGCTCAGGCAATCCTCTCACCTCAGCCTCCCAAAGTTCTGGGATTATAGGCATGAGCCACTGTACCCAGCTACTATGGTTACTTTTAAGTCACAAGATAGTTTTAATTCATTAAGTGAAATGTCCAGTCTTAGGGAAAAAAAGAAAATTTCAGAGCTTGAATGACGTTTCAGGCTTCGCCCTTCTTCAGCTGAGATTTGCGGCAGATGAACCGCCACTGTCCAAAAAGGGAACACAGACATCTTTACTGGCTTAAGGGAAGGGCGTAACAGGCAGAGGAGTAGCTTAAGCAAGAGTACGAAACATCACCA